CTGCCCGGCCCCGGTCTGCAGGGATCGGGCAGGGCTGGTCCTGCCGCCCTCGGGGTGGCTGCTCTCCAGCGGGTCGCTTTTCGGGGCTGTTCGGGCAGTGCGGAGAGCTGCCGGCACTTCACGTAACTTACGCTAAAGAAACCGAGTCAGAGGCAGCCCCCCTCGAGTGACTTAGCACGTTGAGGCTGAATTTTCAAGGCAGCCCTAATTCAGCCCTTGTTTGTGAGCTCTGCCTACTTGCCGCTCTCTTTCGTTGTCAGTTCTAATCTGCTGCTAAAATTCGGCTCGTCTGGGGAGCTGGTTCAAAGTTGCACTGCAAAATCTTGCTTTTTCAGCTGCTTGCTGCCCTTCCATGTTATTTTGCCTTTAAAAATGTGAGAACCTCCTTGGTTACACTTTCTGCCGTATGGAAACAGCCTTTTATACGCGTTCCATACCATTTCTCCATTTTGTTACAACTATTCAAAATATACATTCTTTCAATTCTTCATCTTAGTTTATTGATTTCTTTTTCATGCTGCTATTTTCAACTGCATTTCAGAGTTAAATACAACTTGCAGGACTACTGAGGTATAATAATATATAAGTTTTAAATAACATTTCTCCTGATGCTTTCTTATACTGATTTGCTAGAAAAGATATTGATGCAGTATGAGCTATGATTAACATGGGTTTAGGGGCTTTGGAGGATTCTTTTCTTTTGATAGCTGGTGAGTGGCTCTAGAGATTTAATTCAGGAGATTGCACAATTATGTGAGAAATATTACATATTGCAGATGGAAACACTTTGGTAAATGTTTGTATCAAGAAGACAAGCACACTCATCCTACTCGTTCCTACTTCGTACTATTCATCATGGCTGCGCACTGGGAAAAGTGCAGTAGCTTTTAATGTCATTAGTATTAATTACGTAGCTTGGTGTGCATAGTACTTGTCATTTTCAAAGCATTTCCGTGCACGTTATTAAAATACTTACATGTCTTACAAACGTATTGCACAAGGGATGTCATCCTGACTTTCACAGATGGATAACTGACGCATGGGAAGAAGAGCCTTGACTTACTGTTGATAAAAGCTTAATGCCACAAGAAGGGTTTGCAGCTGAGCAGAGGTGAGAGCTAGGGGATTCCTAGCTCCAGTGCTTTGTATTTAGGCCAGTGTATTAATAGCTTACAACATCATCTGCCTTGGGTAGTCTGTCTGTTGTTCTAGGGAAGATAAAGTGCAAGGTGCTCTGTGAAGACTGTAACAAGTTAGATGCCTTTCAAGACCTAGAGTATCATCCTTTGGATAGTTTCATTGAAGTAATATTTGCCTGTGTAAAAGCTTGCTGTCTTTGTACGTGCTTTGGAGCAAAGCAAAAGAACACAAGCTCCTCTACTTATGCTCATCAGGCTGAATCTGGACCAGAGCCAATCCAGAAATACAGCCAAGTTAGCTCGGTGCTTTGTTTGAGCTACTGTGTCATGCTACAGAGCATCGCGATCAGAGCAGGTTTGCATCAAGCCACTCGGAATATGGGCAGAGCTGTCTTCCAGTTGATGATGTAGCCTAAAAACTTCAAGAATTCTTTTATTTCTAGAGTCCATCCTTTAGCGTCACTGGTGAACTACTTACTTTTCCTGCACTTTTACATGGATAGAGTTTCTTGGTTTTGAATGGCTAATCTTTTCATAAACATTAAATCAGGTTAAAAATAGTCTCATCCTTGTTCAGAAAGTACTGGTATATTCAGTAATTCATGTCCGTTGATGCATATGTCAGGGCTGGGATGGAGTAGGTTACTATACTGTTCAATAATTAAAGCAATTTGATTACATTTCTGCATATATTGGGGGACAGGACTAATTTTTACAATACTCTTAGGAAGCAATATGTACTGCTGCTGATACTTGCTGAGCTCACTGCAGGTTACTGTATGCTGGACGTTATCAATTTGAAACTGTAAGGATTGCCAAGAATAAGCCTCTTGCATATGAGACTGAACATTGATTTCTTCCCTGGGCATTCTTACTTGAAGGAGCCAGTTCAGTCACCTGGTCCTATTTGATAAGAAATGTAACTGTTTTGTTGCTATTATGAAAGATATCTTTTCTGGAAGAAAGTTCAGCATCTTTTTCTCTTGTTTTTTAAAGGAGCTCTGCTGACAGTGGAGCATGTGAAGAATGATGTCGAAATTTCGGTGGAAGAAGGCAAAGAAACCATTCTCCGTGTGTCCGAGTAAGTGACTTTGCATCTCTCCTCCTAGCTTTGGGTCAGCAGTTTTAAAAAATCACATGCTTGTAACATTGACAGTAACCTTTTCAGGTAGGAGGAAGAGAAGAATACAGTTTTATTCATCACTGCAATACTGATGTCTCTTTGTAGCACAGACGAAACATTTACAATATATTCTAAACTTGATCTTTATGGAAAGAACTCTGGTATTCTTATTTGCATGCGCTTATGTCTAATCATTTATTGCTGTACCAGTCACTTTGTTGCTTAGGTATTTGCCTTTTTGAGATGCCATAGATTATCAAAAGCAAGGCCATTTTGTATTAGGCAAGACTGGTTTACAAGGTCCCTTGGACTTGTACATATGTGGTGGAATTAATTTTAAAGGTTTATATGGCATTATTTTGGGTTCACTGTTGCATATAACTGAAGGCGTGATGTTATCTCAGAAAAGTGCTAATTAATTATACCATGCTATCCAGCATATCCATCTGCATCCTGTAGAAAGTACCTTTGAAATTTTTGTAGAATCTATTGTCTATCCTTCTAAAATACTCTGCAGTTGGAATAAATATTTTCAAGTTTGGGGCATGAAGGTGGTTTTTATGATCCGAGTAGGATCATATGCATACCAGAAATGCAGGACTAATCTGTTAGTTTTGGGAAGCTGCCTTGTCATCTTAGATTCCTTATCGGGTAAGATACCTGGATATATCAAGAGGAGATATCCTGATATTTTAAGTACCACTGACGTATCAGTGGAAATCTCTGATGTCTAATATCTACAGTAAGGAACATATTTTGACCATAAGCGTTGCAGTCCTAACTTGAAGTATATTAATACTATGATGAGTTTGGAATTAGTGATTATAAGTGTAGTTTTTGAATACTGATTGTTTTTTGAAAGAACAGGGAAAAAATCTATTGTTCACGGACATGCTGACAAATTTGCATTTTGTGAGCTATTTCAGTAGAAGATGCTGTTAAAGCCGCCAATGCATCATAAATTGGTATTCCTGCATGTCTGTAGAATGGCTATAAAAACAACATAGTATTTTTATGTTCTGTTGCGGAGATACTGACTTGATTCTCATAAATTAACACCGACTGATCTTTCCCACTGTCTTCTAACCTTAGGGAAAGAGCTTGTCACTATGTACGTGTTTCTGCAAGAAATCAAAGCGCAGGATGATTCACAGTCTTCAATCATAATGATTGCTCTACTGGTTGCAAATATTGCTTTCTGTTTACAATGTTAGACTTGAACTCAGATACGAGTTCTTCCTTTACTGTAATCTCTGATTTTACATGTTGTCTTTTCCTGTGCCTAGTGATGGCATTGAACTTGTGATTTTGAACTGAAGCAAGAGAAATGTGGCAGGTTGTATTGGGACTTAACCTGTACATCATTAATAATCTTCAGCGTCTGTTATACACATGTGGGATACAGCATACATAACAGAGAGTTAACTGGATATTTTTTAGTTGCATGTGAGAGTTTTCCCCTTAAGTAGTCTTAGTCAGATTTTGGTTTCATTTTCCATTCTCAGTTTAGGCTGTGTGTGTGTGTGTGTATATACCAGAAGGAATACATGCACATATACACTCCTGTGACACATAGGGATGATCTTGGAATAATATAAATTTATATACTCAACTTTGAAATAATATTTTATTTTATTAAATAACTTCATATTACCATGCCTTCTTCCCACTGCATTTCAAAACCACTCATGTTAAGGTGTAATGGAAATTGTCAGGAATGTGAAGCCAAAGCTCTTCTGCACTTTGGCCACATGTGGATAATATCTAGAATCATGGTTCCATCAGATGGAATTTTTTGTCTGTTAGTGTCATCTCATCCCTGGCTTTGGATTATGTTTAAGAAGTTGTTCCAAACCTCAATATTGCATTAATTTTCTCTTGCTCAGTTGTACAATCATTTAAAAAATCGATTCTCTATTTTAAAGTCTCTTAAAAGTGTATCTGTTCCTTGAGAAGCATCAGCTGAACTCATATCTCAACTAATGCTTTTGGTAAATGGATTTCATGGCATCAGTTCTGCTGAAGCTATCTTATTTTGGCATGATTTGAAATTCACTTGGGATATTTCAGACTTTGATTTTTTTTGGGGGGAGAACCATTAGTTCTAATGAGTTGACTTGAACAAGAGAGAACATGTTATTTGCTGTTTTTCTAGGTTATAATTTGAAGTGTAGCTAAAATCTGTTTGCAAACTTTTCAGCTAACTAGCTAAAACTTAGCTGTCAGCTTGTTAGCTGAAAAGTTTATCACTAATTTGAGATTATGAATTTTATTTTAAAGGTTATTTTCGAAGCCTTAGCTTCAAAACTTCATGTGGTAATAGCTCCTAAACAAACCACTCTGCTAAATGCTGATGGCATTATGGAATGTTTTCGTATACCTGCATCTTATCAGATAACAAACTGCAGTACAGCTTTTCTGGTTCATGTTAAAAGCACATGCATGCTTCAGAGTAGTATTGCTCTTAGGCAGATGGATCTAACCTATGCACAGAACCATTCTGCAATGTTTTTTACAGATTAATTCAAATAATGATTTATTACAATTGGAGATCCTCTGTGTTTTGTTTTGTGTTTCATTTTTTTTTTTTTCTTCTCCCATCTTGTCTTCTGGTTCTTGAATATTTGCCCCGGTATTTAATTATGTGGCATTTCATGTCACTTTTGAGACACACTTACTCTTTGCCTGTAACATTACATTGTCCCTGGTTATTCTTCCTTACTTACCCTTGGAGTTAGCAGGCCCTAGCTGCAAAGAGCAGCCTTAATGCTTTGTAACTTTTTCAAAGAAAGGAGGCCAATTAGCGCTATGTTTGGGTGGAAGTAGATCTTTTTTTCCCAAAGAAAATAAACGGCTTTTTAAGCACAAGTAAGCTTTGACTCAGAGTAACATTGTCACATTTCATATATTTATTCAGTTTTGCTCGAGTAATCAAGGGTATTTGTTTTAGTATGAACTAGTGAAAACAATAAAAACACATTTCACAGACTTTCTGTAGATGCAAATGTATTAGAAATGCTTTGTGTTTCTCAGTTTGAAAAAGCTTCATTAAAATCTGATAGCAGTGTGGAATTACAATAGGGCATACTTTGTGTACGTTAACACCCCCCCCCCCCCGGTGGGGGCTTTGTGTTTCTTTATACTTTT